GACTACATCAGGATAGAAGGAGAGGAGGTGGAAGATGTGGAATCCTTTGTGTACCTACAATCTTGGACAAAATAAATGGAACACCTGGACCACCCCTCTCCCCATTTCAATGATGCCAAAATGGTGTGTTTTTGCTCCTTCACGCCTTCGTCATTGCTTTGGGGGGAGGGGAAGGGGGTTAATTGTTCCTTTTTATTCTGTCCAAGATTGTAGAGGCTTGGAAGGAAGGGAGGGGGAGCACATTGTAAGTGGGCTGACGGCTTTCTTCAGATTTTGTTTTTCAGAGTGTTTGCAAATGCTGTTCTGAGAAACTTTCTCTGGAAGATAACCCCTTGAGATAGCATTTGATGTTAAGGTCATATCAATCTTCCTGATGTTTCCTTATTGTGTTTCATTTTAAAGACAACATACAAAAGTTGGTCAACCAGGCAAATGTTTCCCAAGACCTGGTTGTATAATGTCAGAACATGTTGGATACCACAGTGGGTCTGGGTCATTTTAAATTCACTAATTAATAGCATTTCTGTTTTTCTTTTTCAACTTGTAAGGTGAAATTACATGTACATGTACAGAGATCACTCTTACCTATCACTAGTTTTAGCCTCATTGGTCTAACATGGCCCGGTCTATAAAACATCCATTTTTAACCAGCTGGTCATAATGACTTCTACAATTTTGTGAAAGATACTCCTCCAATTTGCCAGGAACAGCAATTCTGCACTCTATACCTGCAAGGAAATCAAACTGTAAACTTTTAGAATCTTCCCTTTTCATCACCTGAATAAAGCCAAGTTCAGACTAGTTTTGACTTAAAGTATTTATTGTCCTCTGAGACCAAGGGGAAAATACTTGATGTGGGATGAAGTGAACCTAAAAAGCACTTGAAATGACGAAAGTTTACAAGTAAGTTATTGTCACTTGAAGTTCTATATTTATCCCACCTCAACTAACTGCCGCTGGGTCTCTGAGGATGCATTTTATTGGCCATCAGATTTTTTAAATCAGAATAACTTTTAAGAAAATAACATTTAGGGTTATCTTACTAATGAAAGGTGGACACAGTTAGTTTGGTTGCTTTGTGATTCTTGGCATTTTTTGATGTAGGCACTCAAAATGGGTTGGGAGAACTGTGAAGTGCTCTGAAGCTCTACCAAATCTGTTATGCTCATACACAAATAATTGTGTACAGGTATGTATCTGGGCATCTGACAGCAATTCCTCCACCCCACCTCCAGTCTTTCAGATCATGCTCTTAATTAGTGATCAAGTTCAATGCAATATCCCACGTTAAAGCCCTGGACTTTATATAACTTCATAACAGGGTTTAGGTGGGCTTATAAACAGGGGGCTTATATCTGGAGGGGCATATAAGCGGAATAAAAAAAGTTTTGGAAAGACAAGATCAAACATATCTGAATAATCTGAGAAATAAATTAAAGCTAACATACCATAACATTTAAAGCTATTACCCTATTATCCCATTACCCTATTAACCAATAACTTTCAATTAAAAATTTTGATGTTTATGAAGAAATGCAAAAGGAGCGCACAAGTTATACATTAGATGGGTTTATATC